GTATGAGGTGCAGGGTTGCAGCAGTCATCCAGGCAAACGGTGGATATACCCGATATTGACTTTTCGATGACTAATTATCAATGTGTGGGTCATGATTGACATTTTGTAATGTGATTTTACAATTCAATAACGTTTTTGAGCTTTCACTGACAATACTTATTAAAGATAATTTTAAGCGTGAAAACTGTCCATATTTTGATGTCATGATATGTAAATTAAAAATTGTTATTTTACAGTGATAATCTTGTTTTCTTGTGCCCAATAATGCATAATTTCACTTGATAAACACGTTTAGATTGAATGGTAATTTATAATCAGTCACAAGAACGTCGAATCTGAATCACTTGAAAAAAACACGGGGGTGCTTAACTTTTTTCCAGGTGTATAGTTATTTTACACTTTAAAATGTTTACATGATAGCTAGTTAGCGTCAAAGTCAGATGACATAACTACAACTTAAAATACTGTAACTTATCAAAGTTTTTATTTTTGTCTATCATCTCCTAGATGCTGCCCATTTCATATTTCATAATTATCTGATTCAGTCATATACAACAAAGACCAGTCTTTTATAAAAGCAAGTTTTTATCATTACACTTGATATTAGCCAAAAAAAAGTAATCATTGTTTCTTAAATAAATTTTCTTATGAAAAAGTTACAGCAAAAAAATATACCAGTGAAGACAAATCATTCTATTTTTTGTGCAAATTTCCAAAAGTTATACTTTACAAAATACCTTAAAATAGAGCTAAGTATAGAATTATCAAAAACTGGGAAATTTATGCCAAAGATACAACAGGAAAATACAGTGTATGTGCAAATTATAACACACTTTCAATAAATATAAAGTATTACATGGGCTGTTTATTTCAAACCTTTACTTTCTTTTTCAATGGCTTAAATATAGCTGAAAAAAACAATTTCATGATTTGTTACATTCCTTTATATTTCACAAATGTGGTACTGTTCCTCGGTCACATCATACCACAACATTATGGTCAACTTACACATTCATCACTCATGTTTTCCACACTGAAGTTACAGCTATCATAGTTTAAAGTTTTACTTTTATAGTTTAATTCTAACAAGCATTTCAATCACAAATTCTTTCGTTTTAAACATTTTTACAAGTACGTTCTTGTGGAAATCTGCAGGTAAAAAAAACTTCAATTCTGGAAATTGATTTGCATTTTACAAATTTGACTGTTAATTTGCAGAGTTTTGACCCTTAGTTCCAACCCTAAATGTAATGTGGAAAAGTTTCATAGCAATGATCTTTACTGCATGTTGAATGTCAATTAACCTAAAGTATTTTTCAATCAAGTCTTACATTTATGATTTATTTGTGACTATATCCAAATTCAATGACCTGTGTTTTAAATCAATAATTACTTCAGTTATACATTATTTTCTGTGTTTTAAAAAAAAAATAGATATTTAATTCAAAATCTAAAAGTAAAACAATGGTTCCAATTACTTATCTGTGTTTCATATATTGATTGTATTTATTGCCTAAGCTGTGATGTTATTTCAAATAGAAAACTGTTAACCCATTTGTTTAAACAATTTCCCTGAACTGAATCAGTTTTTTGTTATGAATGTTTTAGCAACTGATGTTGTATTTCTTAAAGTCATGCTCTGGTCACTTTGTAGATGAATAACTTTTCAATGCTGGAGAAGTAAACACAATTAAACAATTAGCTCCTAGGTTTTACAATTAGGAAGTTTTCAAAAACTTCACTTATATAATTGTGAAAATACATAGAACCAGGTAAAGGTTTTATTTAGGTAACGTTTCTGTGGTAACTTATTGATATTTTTTATTACTGCTAGAGTACTGACATCCTCTGTCCAGCCAGTTTGCTGTAGCTTTAGTCCTGGAAATACAACTGTTGTCTTTGCTGGAATGGTAACTTGTTACTTCAGTTATACATTATTTTAAAATAGACAAGAAATGAAGGTATCATTTACCAGATCTGAAAACCTAAAGTAGTGAAAAAGTGGTAAGTTAAATTTTCTACCATGAAATAATTAAACATCTTAAGTAAAGCAAAGTTAATTGTTATAGTTAACATGATATTTTATGTAGTAAACTGAAGAGCAAAGTCAGAAAGTGAAATATCTAAATTTAAATAATTCTAATTAATATAATTAATTAATTCTAATTAATCATCTATCTTCATACCTTTAAAACAGAATTTAACAGAAATAAAATATTTAAGTTAGAACAAGCGTTTAGCAAAATTAAGAAAATCCTACTTAATCCTTGTTTTAAAAACTGTAAAGTAGATGTGTGCCAGTAAGTAGCTACCAAAAACACATAATAATGTAATAAGGGTTTTAAATATCATGAAATAAATACATATCTTACAGGAACAGTTACCTTATCACTATATATATTTATAAATCGACACACTTCATCATAAATTATTTAAGGCATAATTTCTTAACAATTTTTTTTTTACATAAACACTTTTTCTTCAATAGACAGTTATAAATGTCCATCTGACACAAATCTGAATGTTTCCTCTTCAAACTATGCTATCAGAGCTGTAGCTGAGAGATTTTGGAGAAAGGGGAACAAAAGTGGGATGACTGTTGAGTGAGGGTGAAGGAAATAAATCTTGACAACAATACTTCAATATTTATTTTGCCTCAAAAATGTTATTTAACCACCTTCACTAAACAATATGTAAAATTACAACCCAACTTTGATCCTATTATTTCATATTCATAATGTACAAGTTTTGGATAGGATGTCTAAAATGCTCACCTAATCAACAAAATATCCCCCTAGTCAAACTTTAACTAGTGTAGTGTTTATTGCTACATTAGATCATTCGTAATCATTAAGTTACTGTGGTAAAATGTTTATTGTGAAGTGTAAAGCTACACAATGGGTTATCTGTGCCCACGATAAGTATCGATACCCAGTTTTTAGTGTTACAAGTTTTCTGACTTATCGCTCAACTGCTGTGAGTGGGATGGTAAAAGGATACCAAACTTAATATTATGTTAGATGTTATACTTCATTATTAAACAGATCACTCCTCATTACTAACTATAATTGTGGTAAAACTAAAGCTAAATGGAATGAAAAAGTTTATATTCTGCTGATGTTAAATTAGTCATTTTTAGATATAATTTCTCAGCATCCAATAAAAATAAAAAGTTAACATTTTTAGCACTTTAAATAAAAGTTCAAAGATAAAAAATGTCACTTCCCTAAACACATTATCACTGGAACTTTAGCCAAGTATAAAAACAAACTCTCTAACAGAAAAATAACACTTTTACCACTTGTTTGTCAAAAATTTTTACTGGGTGTAAACCGTATGATCATTTTCCATAAAAACCATTTCAAATTATAAACTTTCACATGTTTTAGATATAAGCGCACTTAATTAAAATATTCATAAAATCTTCAAATTATCAAGCACAAATGTATATTTTACTTGACTACAAGTCACTAGTAAAAATTTCTGATAAAAGTGCATCTAAAGTTGACTATTTTGATAAGGGAAAAATACCGTATTTTTCGGAATATAAGACACACCAGTGTATAAGACGCACGCTTATTTTG